TTATGGGTGCTGAGCATGCGGGAGTGTTGTCGTTCTTACTGCTATTCGTGCAGGATCTGCTGCGGGGGGAGGAGTTAATTGCTGTCGTGCTGGCCGGTCCCTTCCTCGTCTCCTAGTCGGGTGGGCTGAGTCGGGATGGCAACGGTCATTGACCTCGTCTGCATTACCCGCATTTGTTGTGCCTGACCCGCATTTTTCGTAATTGTCGCCCGTTTGCCTCTGCCCGTGTGCACCTCGGTGGTTGCTGACCCGTTGCCTGTGTCTCCTTTATCGGTCTGCTGACCCCCGTCATCGGTGTTTGGGCGCGAACAGTGTTCACTTGGGCTTGTGGTCCTGACTTCCTACCTTTGATTCCGTTGGTTGAATCGCACTCGTAGGGCCTGGTAAGCCGCCGGGAGAATCGTGCAGCGGTTGATGGAAGTTGGTACGGTGTGCCAGGCTTCGAGCGTTTCCCTGGCTGTCTGGTCGGTACCTCGGCCTAGGATTTCGGCGTTCTCGAAGGCGAAAGTGTGTCCAGAGGCAGCACAATGTTCCGCCACCTGTGAGAGTTGGTCCATCCTTCTCACTGCCCTTGCGTGTTCACTCATGCGGGTTTGTAGACGTTTTCCGGTCTCTCCAACGTAGTTCGCCTCACAGGAACTACACTGGACACGGTAGACGACATTCGCTGTTTCGCCTCGTGACAGAGGGGCCTTGGGCCTCATGACGAGACGTCTTATTGTCGCTTCAGGTCTGTGGGCGACGCCGATCCCCAGTGGTTGTAAGAGACGAGCCACTGCTTCGGATACATTCTCAATATACGATAGCGCCCGCCACACTTTGGGTTGTTCTCTCGTTGGCCTTATAGCCTTCTTTGGTTGCCTGCTGCGTTCGATGAAACTGCGAGGATAACCGTTGGAGATGAACATCCGCCGAAGATAATGGAGTTCGGCTACTTTGTCGGCTGCCTCGCTGCAGTGAGTTTCCGCCCTCTTGTAAAGAGTCCGCACACAGCTACGTTTATGGCACAACGGGTGGTTACTGTAGTAACTGAGGACCTGACGTGTGTTGGTGGCCTTTCGGTATACCGTCGTTCTTAGGCTCCCGTTAGTTTTGCGGTGGACCAGGACGTCTAGGAACGCTAGCTGGTTGTTGACTTCTGCCTCCCTTGTGAACTGAATGCCCGGAAAAACAGAGTTTAGGATCGTGTGAAATTCGGAGACCATCTCCCGCTTGAGGATGACGAAGGTATCGTCCACATACCGTGCCCAAAATATGGGTCTGTGGGTTGCGAACACCAGCGTCTCTAACTTTTGAAGGACCGCCTCAGCAATGAAACCAGACAGCGGCGAACCCATTGGAGTTCCTTTGATTTGTTCATAGACCGTTCCTTCAAAGGTGAAATAGGTCCTGAGGCAAAAATGGAGCATCTGGATAAGGTGCCCTCGTTTAAAGTTATTGGTCTCGTCGTTATATTGACTCTCAAGTAGATCGCTGACAGTTTCAATTGCTAGACACTGAGGAATTGAGGTGAAGAGTGAGGTAACATCAAATGATACCATGACTTCGTCTGCATTAAGGTGTAGACCCTGGAGTCTTTCCAAGAAATGTATGGCTGAGCGGACCGCTGTATCGGAGCCTGATGTGAGACAGTTCAGACGTCGGAACAGCCATTTGGCCAGGTTGAATGTAGGCGTTCCGCGCAAAGATACGATAGGTCGAAGTGGAGCACCAGGTTTGTGCACATTCGGCAGCCCATAGAATCTCGCCATAGCCGAATCTGTTGGTTTCTAAGGAAGAAGATCGAGAACTTCTGAAAATACGAAGACTAGAGGATATCGTCACCCTGCCCGCCGACAAGGGGCGCTCTACTGTCGTCATGGATAAGGCTGAGTACTGCAAAAAACTAGGCAACCTCTTGATGGACGAGGAAGCTTATGCGCCATCGACTGTCAGCGAGTTCAAAAAGCTCGTAAACAACATAAACAAGACGATCGGCAAGCTGAGGAAGGCGGGCGCTCTTACTAGAAGGGAAGCGCTGGCCGCAAAAGCCAGTGATGCCGCAATGGCGCGCTTCTACGGCTTACCAAAGGTCCACAAGCCGGGAGTGCCGCTACGCCCCATCGTCTCCTTACGTGGTACCCCAACTTTTGGGCTGTCAAAGTGGCTGTACCAGCGACTTCGTTTCCTTACCAAGGATTCAGAGTGGACAGTGAAGTCGGCTGAAGAGTTTTTGGCCCGCATCAAACGTCCGGAAGTGGAGGCAGATGAGGTGATGGTGTCTTTTGACGTGATCTCATTGTTCACCTCCATCCCACCCGCGCTGGCTATCGACACTATTGACGGTTTTCTCCGGGAAAAGTATGATGAGACCGATCAACAGCTCAAACGAGTTCACATCATCGAGCTCCTATAACTATGTCTAAAGACGTTCTTTACATTCAACGGCCAGGTCTACGAGCAAAAGAAGGGGACACTGATGGGCTCGCCTCTATCTGGATTAATTGCCGAAGCGGTTTTGCAGAGGCTTGAGCGGCTGGTCTTCAGCTCGTATCCCCCAAAATTCTGGGCCAGATACGTCGACGACACTTTCCTTATCATCAAAAGGGGCGATGTGCAGGCTTTCAAGGCACTGTTGAATTCAATCTTTCCCGACATCCAGTTTACTATGGAAGAAGAGCTCAAC